TTTCACATTCGGGATGGTAGAATTCGCGGTGATCACGTTCCGGGAAGTGAAATTTGGGGTAATGTAGCACAATCCACATAAACCCATTATTCCAAGCTGTAGATTCAATTCCACATTGCTTCTTAAACAAAGTATCTTTTGTGGTGAAAAAAAAACTAATAACCTACTGTGCCTGGAAGCAAACCGTTTGGTCTGGCCGAACATTATGACAAATCTTCTTCGATTCTAGTTGAGATTACTGGAACACTCAGTGAGGTAACATTCTGTGGCATCGCCCGGCAACACTGGTCAGCCTGGCTTCCATCGGGTCGTCGTCGAAGAAAAAGAACTCAAGCTGTCAATCTTTGCTACGCAGCTATCAACGCGTGAACGTGGTTGTTTTTCTATTTAAAGTAAAAATAAAGATTTTAAGTATTTCGTAACTAATCGTTCTTTATTCCGCGTCCGATCGCTACATTGGTGACCCGCGACGTCGCGAATCTAAAAGTTTCGGTCCGATTTCACGGTTATTCGCCGATATTCGATCTCAAAGCCGAAACTAACCTCAAAATGCCGGACGATAACGGGAGCAACGCAGCAGCATCTGTCGCGGTAAAACTACCGGAGTTTTGGAAAACTGATCCGGCTATGTGGTTTGCGCAATCGGAAGCGCAATTCCACCTTGCGAAAATCGTCAATGATGAAACCAAGTTTTACCACATCGTGGCCAAAGTGGATCAATCGGTTATATGTCACATAGCCGATTTGGTAGCTGCTCCTCCAGCGGAAAATAAATACAAAACAGTGAAAGATCGCCTAATTGCTCGCTTCGCCCTGTCTGCTGAAAGCCGCTTCGAACAGCTGCTGGGGGCCAACGATCTTGGCGATATGCGCCCAACGCATCTGTTAGCAAAGATGAGAGAGTTGTCGACGGGTTTGGGCGTGGATAACAATCTGCTCAAAATGATTTTCATTCAACGCCTCCCGGCAAACATTCGACCAATTCTCACATGCCACGATGGTACCATCGAGAAGTTGGCTGAAATGGCAGACAAGATCACCGACGCCTCCAACGGTCAGTCCTCCGCAGTTGCCATGGTGCACAACGAACCAACGTACAGCAACAGTGGTGAAAGGAAGCTAGCAGAGCAGATCGAACTTCTCACAGCGGAAATCCGACGCCTGAAGGCTCCCAACCCTGAGCGAGGCCGTTCGTTTTCGCGAAACCGAAGTGGTTTTCGTTCGTCATCACGATCCGGACTGTGCTGGTACCATAGGAAATATGGAAACGATGCTCAGCGGTGCCGAGAACCGTGTTCATGGAGCTCAAAAAACTAGCATCCTCCCCACCATCATCGGCGGTGGTGGCCGGAGTGTCGGAAAGTCGCCGAATGGTAATTTTTGACAGGACGAACAATACACGCTTTCTAATCGACACTGGATCGGACGTCACAATATTGCCTGCCTCCAGGAGAGATCGATTGAACGGTACCGTTATACAACAGCTCCACGCAGCCAACGGAAGTAGAATTCGGACATTTGGAACGAAATTTATTCCTGTTGACCTAGGATTGAGACGAAGATTCACCTGGAATTTCCTCGTTGCTGAAGTGACGATGCCAATAATCGGTGCTGATTTTTGATTGATTGGCGCACTTCGGCATACTCGTCGATTTGAAAAACCAAAAACTGATAGATGGCCAGACAGGATTGAAGTCTTCTGGAGGTATGATGACTGCTGCTCTGCACAGTGTAACACTTGTTGGTGCCGATCATACGTTCCACGATTTGTTAATGGAGTACCGGGAAATAACTCTGCCATCGACGCTTCGTTCTGTCACGCAGTGTGACGTAACCCATCACATAGTTACTCGTGGACCACCCGTGGCGTCTAAAGTTCGACGAATGCATCCGGACAAAGTTAAAGCTGCTAAGGAAGAGTTTCGCCTTATGTGTGACCTAGGAATATGCAGACCATCGAGTAGCAGTTGGGCAAGTCCTTTGCATTGTGTGCTGAAAAAGAACGGGAAATGGCGTTTCGTTGGTGACTACCGTCGCTTAAATCATATCACTACACCTGACCGTTATCCGGTACCGCACATCCACGATTTGCTGCATTCGCTTCATGGTAAGTCCGTTTTCACAACTCTTGATCTGGAGCGAGCGTATCATCAGGTTGCGGTGGAGGAAGCAGACATTCCCAAAACGGCGGTCATCACATCGTTTGGCTTGTTTGAGTTCACCCGCATGCAATTTGGGTTATGTAACGCAAGTCAGACGTTCCAGCGCTACATGAACCGAATCTTTGGTGATCTTGATTTCGTTGTTGTCTTTATAGATGACATATGCATCGCTTCTGAATCCCTTGCTCAACACCAGGAGCATCTACGCATAGTGTTTGACCGCCTACGCCAGCACGGACTCGTTCTAAATTTGGGTAAGAGCGTGTTTGCCCAAAAGGAAGTGGAATTTTTAGGATACCTGATCAGCAGTGATGATGGAGTGCGGCCGCTCCCGTCACGCGTCCAAGCCATTATGGACTACGAGAAACCGACAACAGTCAAGGAACTCCGTCGCTTTCTGGCACTCGCCAACGGCTACAAACGCTTCGTTCGTCATGCATCCGACATCCAAGCTGAGTTGCAGAAGCTTATTCCCGGGAACATGAAAAACGACATACGTAAACTACAGTGGACAGATGCAGCTTCATCAAGCTTCGAGCGTTGTAAAAAATCATTAGCGGAGACAGCACTGCTTCACTATCCTGACTCGTCGAAACCATTAGCTCTGATGATCGATGCCTCAAATATTGCTGCGGGGGCTGTCTTGCAGCAGCTAAATGGTCAGAATTGGGAACCACTCGGATTTTATTCCGAAAAATTTTCGATGTCTACTTTTGGCCGTGAACTGACTGCGATGAAAATGTCTGTGAAATATTTTCGGCACTTCCTTGAAGGACGCAACTTCACGATCTTCACTGACCATCGCCCACTAACATACGCGCTAACAACCGATTCCAGCTCTCGGCTACCGCATGAAGAACGATACCTACGTTTCATCTCGGAATTTACTACGGATATACAACATGTCAGTGGAAGTGAAAATTACGTCGATGCATTGTCTCGTGTGGAGAGTATACTAGCGCCTACTTCGGTGGACTATGAAGAAATCGGACGAAAGCAGAAAAACGACGCGGAGCTTCAGCAGTTGATGCAATCCAAATCTACTTCGCTGAAATTTGAAGCAAAACGGATGAGTGGTTGTTCTCAACCGATCTACTGTGACGTCTCGACCGGAAAACCACGACCTTTCGTTCCAAGTACTCAACGGAGAACCATCATGGAATGCCTACACGGAATTTCTCACCCAGGAGAACGAGGCAGCAGGAAGTTAATCTCCGAGCGATTCGTTTGGTCAGCTATGAACCGTGAAATAAATGAGTTTGTCAAACACTGCGTCGACTGCCAACTGTCGAAGGTGCATCGACATACCGTCTCTCCGTTGGGAAAATTTGACCTACCGAAGGCTCGCTTCCAACACCTTCATATTGATCTGGTTGGTCCTTTGCCGCCGTCACAAGGATACCGCTACCTACTGACCATGATTGACCGTTTTACCAGATGGCCCGAAGCGGTTCCACTTGTCGATATGACTGCAGCATCTGTGGCTCAAGCACTGTACTCAACATGGATAGCAAGATTTGGAGTCCCAGAAAACCTGACCGACCAGGGACGGCAATTTGAGTCCGATCTCTTTCGGGAGTTAACGCCAATGTTAGGTGTTCACCATATTCGTACGAATGCCTATCACCCACAAGCGAACGGCATCGTAGAACGTTTTCACCGAACATTGAAAGCATCGATAATGTGTGTAAACTCTAAGAATTGGTACGACGAACTTCCAATGATTCTTCTGGGACTAAGGGTGGCATTTAGGGACGACCTGCAGTGCTCGGTTGCGGATATGGTTTACGGTCAGGCTTTACGGATTCCTGGTGAATTCTTTCAGTCTGCACCTGGAGATATCGACCGATCGGAGTTTGCCCAAATGCTTCACCGTACGTTCGACAATATAAAACCGCACGATACTAAACGTCATGGAGAACGACAAGTTTTTGTCAACGCCAATTTGAAAACATGTACACATGTATTTGTACGAGTGGATTCTGTGAAGCGACCGTTGCAGCATCCTTATGAAGGTCCATTCAAGGTAATAAGACGAGATGATAAGTTCTTCGACGTACTTATTTCTGGAAAACAGCAGCGCATTTCAGTCGACCGAATAAAAGCGGCTTTCACTTGTAATCCGGATTTGCAGAAATATCCTCAAGATGATCATCGTACGAAAGTTACACAATCTGGACATCGCGTAAGATTTTTGGTGTAACTGGTCAACCTGGCTTCCATCGGGTCGTCGTCGAAGAAAAAGAACTCAAGCTGTCAATCTTTGCTACGCAGCTATCAACGCGCGAACGTGGTTGTTTTTCTATTAAAAGTAAAAATAAAGATTTTAAGTATTTCGTAACTAATCGTTCTTTATTCCGTGTCCGATCGCTACAATTCCTAATGGGAACACTAGGAATGTTACCACTACTACAAAAGTGGATCCATGTTTATATTAAAACGGAAGCAGTATATTGAAATACAATTGTGAATTTGATTTCTACTCGTTGCTTTCGTGTCACTGAACTCTCTTTTAGGATAAAAATACTAAAACAAATTTTTTTCAAGGGTAAAATCTAGGGTTTATCCTTATTGCCAGAGGTAATAATCGTCTGTGATTAACTCAACTTCTAATCATTTCCAGGAAATCCATCCAACCAAACAACGATTGCAGCAAAGTTCAAGCTCAACCAGATGGTAATTAATTATTCTACCTTCCAAATAAACCCGTGCTTGCACAAATTGAAGGGTACAAAAAGCAACACATATTAATTAGGCTTTTCCCAACTACGACGCTACTACCAAGCGCCATTCAGACTTTCAGGGCCATTTTCTTTCGAAAGCAGGATGATTTAATGGTAATCGCCAACCTGACAAACATTCAGAGCTTTTCTTTGTTCGTTAGCTACACAATCGATTAGTTTTATTGTTTTTCATGTCTTGGCTCAGAGTCCACAATAATTATTCACCTACTGGCCAAGGACCGTCTATAATGCTCGTGACCTAGACTTTGGTGATGAGGGTCGACTGACTGCTACGCGCTTCCGGAGCATTACTCCCGCGTTTTCCCGATATTCAATTTGTCTACAGTAAGTCTCGGTCGCGCCATTCCGATTTTATCACGGACCTCGGTAAATTGGAGAGGTATTCCGTAATAAAACCATGACATAAAAATTGTTTTCTTCCATTCTTCTGCGCTCTATCACAGTTTCCGACGTTGTGTTCGGATTTGGCTTATTACATTTCCCCCCTTTCGAATGCCAATCTCCGAAAATGTCGAAAACCCCATTATTCTGCGCTGCGAGTGAGGTGATTTGACGGAGAGTCACCTCACCTCACTTGCGGCACAGAATAAGGGGGATCCTACCCACGGTGACATACACTAAAATCATTTCGCTAGATATAACTCAATATGTACACGATATTTTCATTCCAGCGCAATATCCAAAGTAGCACATGAATAAATAAATAAAAATAATTTGCTTCGTTACTAAAATAAAACTTAACCGCCGTCGCTGTTGCGTCAAGATTTGTTCGATACCAGTACGTGACTTTTGATGGATGGTGGACCGTAGCGATTACCCGCTTCTTGAATGAAGGCGTACTCCATCTGCTTCACCAGCTGATCGAAGAACAAGTTGGACAGCTGCGAATGGAGAGCGGATTTGAACTCGAACGCCACCATGAAATCAATCACACAGGACTCCGGGATGTCCTTTAGGCCGGGGCTGAATTGCCACGCCGTGAGCAGATAGTTGAACAGTCGTCCATCGACGCATTCCGCCTTGACTAGGCTGGGTCGGACGAGGGTCACGTTCGAGGTGTAGCTTTCGTTCAGCGGTGGAAAGCCTATAATCAGGTCCGCTTTTAGCGACTCGGGCTTCTTTGCATAAACGAAGGATTTTTTGCAGAACGGCACGAAGGTGTTGTATTTCTCCACATCCGACACCACGGAGTACAACTTGTCCATAGAGTAGCTGGAGGAAAAGCGGGAAAATTAATTTAATGAAACCACGCATACAATAAAAATTAGCACGATTTTACGATAACACTACAAGGAAGATAAACAACTACCTGACCGTACGAAAGTCAAGGTCAGTAGCACAATTCAAGGCTAACACTACTCACCCAGCCAGTTTCTTCTGTTTGAATTCCCTTCTCGTGTTGGTGATGGGAGTGAAATCGAACAACCCTCGGTAGGTGGAATACCTGGAACAATAGCCAGCTACATTTTTCCTCCCATTTCAAACAAAGAAACGAAAAATCTACTTACAAAAGTGGTTGCCTTTGGCACTGTTGCACCTGGTGGGATTGCGAAAGCAGCGCACATTTAATACTTGAGGCGATTTTGGTAGACATTTTTGCCGCTTGTTTTTTTTTTCTACTTTTGTTGTCACCGCGGCAAGAATGTGGAAGTTACGAGTGATTTCCCGCTAGCATAACAAATTGCGCAGATTTTCTACGGGAGGAAAACGAAATCCTCCCCGATTTTGCGATACTAGCAAGAAAGTGTCACCACCCGCAGAAATGGATCTGTCAGTCAGTGACAGGACCGTGCAGAAGAGGGTGCAAGGTGGGTGGTGTGTTTGTGATGGGGAGAGGAGGGTGAGATTTTTCTGACTTTTCTCTCTCGGTGCCCAGTGAGTTTTAAGTAGAACGAATCGACATGGATTTAAATTAATAGGGGAAAGGTGGTATGGTAATCTAATAAAATTGGTATGGTCATTTTGCTACACGGATAGAAATCTCCTTATACCTTTTGGCAAATTTCTATTGCTGATTATTCATAAAATGTATAAGTCAACTAATAAGCAGACGCCTTGCAAAAAGTTAATGAAGATCATGTGTCAAATGAAATGTATCAGCGGTCACACATACCTTTTATGCATTCTTATATGACCTATGTGGTTTATCTTATGGAAGGTATAAGGCTGATGTTTTGGCAAATTTGTATAAGTGAAACACATGAATAAAATCTAGATAGAGCTGGAATTAGGACGTAACAGCCTTTGTAAACAATGACTTCTCTCGTGGATTTCTCGGAATTCAAGGCACGCCTACACAAAACAACATATCCAACGGGTAGGAGTAGTCTTTCTCTACTCGATGGTGATGTCGGTTTGGCAGGGAGAGCTATGGCTTCCGAGAAATCATCGAGAGAAGTCATTGTTTATAAAAGCTGTTACGCCCTAATTCCAGCTCTATCTAGAAATAATTCATTTTCGTTTCGTGTAAACACGTCCAGGGTATCATCCAAACTGAGGGAGAGTCGCGAAGAGACAACAATGGAACGTCAAATGCAGCCAGACGGCTGCTGTCACGAACTGTCATTGATTGGGAGCGAAGCAATTTATGTTGCTCCTTTTACAGTTGAACAAGAATACACAAGGCGGTATTGAAATCTTGCGTAATGCAATTTATTACAAACTGTTGTTTTCAGCTATTTTATTCAATGGGACACCGTTTCTTTTTAATTCATTTAAAATACACGCAAATCAATATTGAAATATACCATTAACCAAGGTTTTGTCAAAACATCTAGCGGCATAATAAAATTCCAAACAGAAAAGTACAGTAACTCACTGCACACTGAACGAACTCAAACAATCACTACACGCTCAAAGCAAAACACGCTATTTTGCTACGCCTGTTTTGATTTGATTTCAATGGCACAAATTGTCATGACAAGAAGAACAAGTCAAGCATAACTATTCAAATCGACGTATCTGTAAACAATCACTTCAATCGACGATTTGTCTTAACTGCTGACTCATCCAGGCAAACAAACACCATCATCAGGTAGGGGAATATTTCCCCTACTAGCTGGTGTTGTTAGTTTCTGTGAGTGAGCTTGCAGTTGCCACAAATCGTCGATTGAAGTGATTGTTTACAAAATCAGATACGTCGATTTGAATAGTTATGCTTGAAGTATACAATGGGCCGTATGAATAAAAAGAGTTGACTTTACTTTCCCGTGCTTTTCTTACGGGAAAAGTAAAGTAAACGCTTTTATTCATACGACCTAATGAATTCCGCTTCTCCCTCCCAGATCCAAACCATTTGTGGAAAAGTTCGATTATTCGGTTATTGTTCAGGTATGGTATTTTTTGTTATTAGGGAGCAAGACCGATTACATTGTGCATCCGACTTAAAATCATAGACATTTCCGGAGCAAATCGAGACTAGGGCGAAACTAGAAAATGTAAACAAATGGAGATTTTACAGCAATCCGACGGAGCAGGCAAAGATCTACTGCACGGCGAATGAGAACGACCTAAATTTGAGTTTATAAATCACTTAAAGTGCAGGAACTCAGCGATTGGTAGGGGATTTCCCATTGGAGCTTCTTTCGTCTGCTTGTAGACGTTACATCGGAAAGAAAACTAGTTCTCTTCCATACAAAAGCGGCTCAGCTTAAGGTATGTCCGAACCTTGTTTCTCCATGCTGCATCCTCTCGTTGTGTTAATAACCAGTCCTCCAAATGGTAGATCGCTTTCTTGACCGGTACGCTGGCAAAAAGAGCTGTGACGTCGAAAGATACCATGAAACCACACGATCTCTCGCATTTCATTCCCCGGTTTGTGGACTTTGGGGAGACCTTTGATCCTGGGTAGAATGGGATTAGAAAATAAAATTGTAAATATTGATTTACACTTCTTCAGTGTTTTCTTCACGTGTTTCACCATGCTCTGTAAGGGGTCTACTCGAAGCTGCCTATACGGTCCGTTGTTAATCTTCGTTGTCATCTGATTGTCGTTATCGTCCTTGTCCATGATAACGACCGCGTTGCCCTTGTCTGCTTTCACATAATATACTGCTTTAGTTTCCAGCTCCTTTACAATCCGAATTTCCTTTTCGTCCTTGATTATGTTCGATGTGATAGTCGTGACCGTATTCTGTAATGTTGTTTGAAATGTCTTGGTAATTGCTGTCTCCACGTCAATGATGATCTGCTCCACGTCTGGCTTGGTTGAAACCGCATATCCTAGCGCCAGGGTTACTGATCTTCACATCGTACGGCTCGAAATTACTCTTCTTCTCCGAACGCTTTCGAAAGAACGAAGCAAAGCAAGCATTATCGAGCGATGCAAACGATGCTGATTCGTTGCGAATATCTGCAAGCTTGCCTAGCGCCTTGTTGAGGTGTGTCAATTGTTCTTCCTTGAATGTGGTCGTCGATCGGTTCATAACCAGCCCATCACTGGAGTGAACACTCCGTTGTCGTGTTAACCTGTCCCAAATCAGGTGGTTGGGATCTGCTCACCTGTTCGGTGTGTCGTCCGTCTTCGTTGAGACTCGTGTCGTAGTCTGTTTAACTTCATATTGTGCTGCTTCTATTTCCTCTCCGATTCGCACTCCTCTGCTACCTTGGCCCTAGACAGAAACTCCTAGAATTTAATTGGATACTCCTTGGCCAATTTGAGATGTAGAGAATAACATTCCAAAGTCTTCATGTCCAGTTTGCTATATAGTCGTCTGATGCTATCTTTGATGAACTCTGCTTCCATCCTCTTTACTACGCTGGGCAGGGTGGGTGTCCGTACCTTAATCCTATGGCTTATTATAGGTATAACCCTTGGTATAACCTTATATTGTTGGCATTTCTTCAGAAATGCTACGTCCTTATGAAGCGATGCGATGGTTTTCTTCAATCCGATGAATTTGTTTGGCTCTGACGGCTTCGTTGCCATGATGATGCCATAAGACGCCCACATTCATCAGGATTCAGGATTCCCAAACCTGCAGGAAGTTCATTGAGCTAAGATCTTTGACAAACTGCTACGAAGTTCCCTAAACTGAAACGAAGATCCCTGAAGTTCTTAGAAGTTTGCTGAACTTTTATAAAATTGTTTGATTTGCTACTAAATTCCCTGAACTTCTGCCAGAATTCCCTTCATTTCTACGAACTTCTACGCAGTTCCTTGAATTGCTACATATTTTGAAAATCTTCTACACATATTTGCTACATCTTCCGTTGGTTTTCCGCTAAGTTCCACGAAGTTTCCACTTGTGCGGTATTCTCTTAACCAATCCAAGTTCATTAAACTTTAAATAAATTACAAGAAGGTCCCAAAGGACCGTTTTTGCGGTGTAGCTACACTGGTGCTACACTGCCGTACACCGAAATATTTTAGGGTGTAGATATAGGATGCACCTTTGTTTACAAACAAATGATGTTGAGCTGTTAAAGACTCGCGCTTATTCCTGCTTACACTACACCAGTGCTACACCGCAAAAACGAAAACGACAAATGTTACACGATGATCCCACTTCTAAGAAATTTCCTGAGTTTTTACAAAGTTCCCTGAATTTCTAGGAAGTTCTCTGAAGCTCTACGAGGCTCCCAGAATTTCTACGAAGTATCCTGGATGTCTACGATGTTCCCCCAAACGTCTAAGAAGTCCTTGAAGATTTACGAAGTTTCCTGAAGTTAAAAAAATCCCTGGACCTAGCCTGAGCATCTTTTAGTTGGGTTCTCGATCGATTTTCTTCAGAAAAAATATCCTTCTAATAGCGTCATTTGGCTGCTTTAGACATACGTTACCCTATTGTGTCCTAGTAGATTTTTCGGCTGTCATCGGTCCATAAATAATAGTTGTATTTAGTGAGCAAATTATACTAGAATAGGTAATCTTATTTTTATTTTCGTTTATGGAAATAAAAAATAATCCTTTCCCGCTTATGATCGACTAGATAAAGCATAGGATATTAAGCCTTCGAAGCTCTTCCGTTATAAAAAGCGATATTCGATATCTATAAATTTAAATTGCTTCCACATCGGACAAGTTTCCGATACGATACTATCAAATGGGTCAAGCTACCTATATTATACTGTTTCACATCAATAAATTGGAATAACGATCGATTGGAAATAGAATAGAATTGCTAAACATACTACTGATCACTTACATGAATTGCACGTTCACCTCGAACGGATAGTCCTCGTCATACTTTCCTTGGCGGAAAATCTGCGAATGCTGCCACATCCGGCCTCCACTGAGCTTCGCCTGGATGGTGAACTTGCCCAGCCCCACCAAATTCCTCGATGATGCCAACGGAGTACCTGCAGCCAATTCGAACCTCAATTAATTGACTTCAACATCAACTTCAGCTCCAACTTACCGTCGTCTTTCAGATATTGGATATCGATCTTGGCCCCTTCGTAGGTCTGCGTTCCAAACTTGATCTGTATGTCCTTGACTCGCATGCCTTGAATGGAAAAATCAAACTTCCAACTAACCGTACCCGTCTGCGTGCCTTCGGTTCTCGCCAGGTAGACCATCTTCCAGTCGTTTTCTTCCTTTCGGAATACGTTCTCACTGGTATGCTGCCGACTTTTCCAATCCTTGGTCGTCTCCACCATAACCGTTCCGGCAGGACCCTTCACAAATCGTTCATAGGTATCCTTAGCGCAAGAGTACCTTACATTGAACTGCTTCGTTCTAATCTCTTGCTCGTTCGGAATGAAAATGTAGAACGTGTTCAATTGTTGCTCTCCCCGCTGCAGTCTCCACTCCAAACTGCCAGAGCTTCTGCCTTCCAGCTCGGCTTGCGTTGGAGCTCGGCTATTGATCAATTGCAAGCATTCATCCAGAGTCCTTTTACGCAAAAACTTCAATCTAGGACCGGAGACTTTCTCCCGTCGCTTGGCTCTTAGTTTCAAAATTGTATCAAGCAGTTCCTTCTCCGAGCTACTCTTCCTGCTCTTCATAACCTTCAGGTGGTCGCTGGTGTATCTCCAGGTAACGTCCTGGACTTCCTCCCTGGAGAAGGCAAACACATACGATATGTCCTTCTTCCAGCCATGCTCGTACATCAGCGGGGAATCGATTGCATTCTCGCACGGATCAACGTGAATCCAGCGGCGTTTGCGAGCGGAATACACCTCAGTCCAAACGTGATCCCCTGTGGAAAAGACAAACCGAGCTTCATATCCCAACGCTCGGCACAGGAATGTAAAACAGTTGGCCCATTCGCCGCAACGGCCACAGCGAGTATGGAGAAATTTTTCCACGTCATTGTATCTGTAGAACCGCCTCAGCTCGTTGCAGCACTTGTAGACCTCCACACGGACGCCATCCTCGATGCCACTCTCCACCTGTTGGGTCTTTTCGTTGCCACAAACCGTACATGGTAGTGTATTTACCCAACGAAAAAAATCCGCCTTGAACCAACCGACCAGCTCCTCCAGAATCAAATCCACCATCCACGGTTCCTCATCCCGATAGCTGCCCGCCTTAATCATCTTCTGAATCTGACGTAGCTTCTCCTTGGCTCGTGCCTTGAGCATTTCCAGTGGAACCAAATCGCGGCCACTTTGCAGCAGCAGCTCGTCTTCGTACTGCATCACTTGATCCGACAGCAACTCGAGCTGTTGCAGAAAGCCGTTTCTCGAACTAACAATTTTCGGGAATGCTATCCTCTGCTGGAACGACTTCCCGGCTCGAACGACCGGTTTCGGAACAACAATCACCTTCGGAGCTTCCGCCTTCGCTTTCGCCTCCAGCAATGATGGCTGCGGTGCAATCGATGCGGAAGAAGTCGAAGGGGGATTTTTTATCAGCTCTTTTCGTTCGTTGATAAAATCTCGATACTTGCGTAGCTTGGCAATGACTACATTTGCGGGCAGCGACAATGTTCCACTCACTTCCACGTAGCCAATCTCCAGCATCAGAGGTTTCATTCCGGAAACCGACAGCAATTTCTCCTTGATGGCCTTGTTCTCCAGCCGCACCGATCGGTACTTCTCATTCTGCGGCGCCTGGATGATGTTGTCCAGCAGCCGGAGAAGCGTCTCCGCCCCCATCACGTAACTATCCTTGGCATTTGATCGCTCCAGTGCCAGAACCAGTGACTCGTTCATAGTGGCCATCGCTATTAGGCGAGAATTACTCCGCGGTTACCCAACAGCTGAACGTCTCGGATTACAAAATACTACTTTGCAACTTCAGATGGAAACAAGAAGGACGCCAATGAATGCAGGCAGCACGAAACACTCTTCGAATGCGCGAGAGATCGATATTACCAACCACTTGCGAAATTGCTGACGACCCGAAAATGACTAAGCACCAAAACGGCGAGATCAAAACAAAAAGTGCTTCATAAAATTTTAATTATGAAAAGAGAGAGAGAGAGAGAGCTTCGCGTCGTGTTCGTTTCTCTCTCGTTTGTCGTCAGCTGTCATAATCTAGTGGGGCGTCGGAAGATTGCGTCACGGTTTATGGAAAATATTTAGATTAAACAAGTCAAAATTAATTTAATTATGTTCAACTTTTCTGAATATGATTTAGAAGCTAAATACTTTCATATAAATGCTCAGTTTCAGAATAAAATTATTATTAATTGTAGGTATATTTTAAAAAAATTCTAAGTTTGATTTTTGCACTCCGACACTCGGTCAACTTTACACACAAAGAAAAATTGTTGCTAAAATTAAAAAAAAAAAACATTGGTACAATTGAACGTTGCATTGGTTCTTTTTGGTAGAAAGCGGTTAGCTTTCAAAACGAAAGTCAGCTAACTGTCAATTCATTCCTAGTTGAACACTCAGTCGGTTAACAACGTCCCGGTCTCAGTCGCGCGGCATCTAGTTTTTTTCGGTGTTTTTTTCCGCCCGAGCGGTTTTTTCACCCCCCCATTGGGTGCCCCAAGTGACCAGTGTGCAACAGAGGAAGTGGAATTCCATGGGCCGAGCCCCTTGGAGTTGCCATCCAGCTTTAGTTCACCCCGGTAATCCATCCGGTCGTCAAGCCATCATCGTGCCGACCCACCAACACCAATCATCACCACCAGCAGCAGCAAACGGACCATCTAGCTGCAACGGCTGATAGGTTGTTTACAACCGGCATAAGTATTAGACAATACATTTTGCAAGTCCATTGCCTCCCTATTGTAGTTTAATTTTGCCTCGTGGCGCGTGACTCTGTCTCTCACCCCTGGTAGGGGAGTATGGGTCATAGTGAGACAACTTTTTGCAAGTAGATATAAGTTTTTTTTTTGTTTCGATTTTTTTTTCTTTTTGATTTGTTCGTACGTCGGGCAAAAAATTTAATTACTAGTAATTAAAATTAATTAATTAGTGAAGGTTTTAAATTTTTTTGTTCCTTCTTAAGTGGTTGCGCACCGCTTTTGCGCAACACTTATGGCATCTTCCGATGCCTACGTTACGCGAACCAGATACTATGAACCGTCTTCGAAAGGACCATGGGTTGTCTTTTTTCGGCCCAAAAATAAACCTTTGAAAACTCTCGACATAACGAGAGATTTGCTGCGTAAGTATCCGGGAATCTTGGTACACAAAGAAAGATTCAACAAACTGCGTGTAGAAGCACCGACTTATGATGTGGCAAATAAAATTGCTGATCACGAGTTGTTTAGTGTTGAGTACAACCACAAACGAAGTGACAGACGACTAACTGGCGAAGAAATCCATTTAAATAATGTGGTTCACTGTAATAAAATTTTCTTGGAAGCTTGTGCCATCATCCACCAGATGGGCTCGATTTTTTGTTTTGATTTGAACAAATTTGATTTTGTGTACAAAGATTCTTTGACAGTGTGCAAAGAGTGTATCATTTTGTCATTTTTTTTATCCATTTCAGTGTTGAGTAGAGTGAAAGAGATAGAACCAAAACATTCTTATACAGTTGGTGAAAATGCTAGTACAATCCAGTAGTAGTGTTGCCATGTGGCACAGTCCAGTAGTAGTGGTGTTGCCTTGTGGTACACTGAAAAATTGCAATAGCAGGTTAGTCACCAAAGTTTTCGAGCCGCTCCGTCTGTCACTTCGTTTGTGGTACAACATCTACATCCCTTCTCGAGATGTGGAGATAGAAGGCGTGGTCTCCGACGCGAGTCTGACTGTCGAGGACTTGAAACATGCCTCGGGAACTTTTAAAAACTCGACATTCGCTACCGCGCTAGTGAAGATACTGGATGTAAGGCAACTGCATTCAGCATCTTTGCTAGACGGTAAAAAAGTTTATCAACATTCAGACTCGTTCCGGGTGACTTTCGCAGGTTCAGTTCTCCCAAACTTTGTTAAAATTGATGGTGCTTTTTTTCCAGTGCGGCTGTTTGTACAGAGGGTATATAATTGTACCAACTGCAAAAGGCTGGGACACTCGGCCAGCCATTGCGGCAACAAAACTCGTTGTGGCAAATGTGGTGAAAACCACAAAGAGGATTCTTGCCACAAAGAATCAGTAAAATGCGCTTACTGTGGCGAGAATCCTCACCCCTTGCAGGAGTGCCCGATGTACAAGCAGCACTCCGATAAAGTGCAGCGTTCAATCTCTGGACGCTCCAAGCAGACTTATGCGCAAATGTTGAAGGCTGCATCAGCCGTCCAAGATGCAAACCAATTTTCGATTTTGTCAGCTGAAGAATCGGACTCTGACTCATCGGATGAAGGTGATTCTACGGTGGTACACGCACCTTCAAAAATGGACGGATCCTCAAAAAGAAAATGCCCCTCCCCGAAAGTGCGCCGTAAGAAAACTAAAATCACCTCCAGAAGATTGCCAAATTCCCAGGGTAATGGGGATGAAAAAACAAAACCGAAGGCTCCTGCTGATCCAATCCCTGGATGCAGCAAGAATTTTCCGCCATTGCCCAACAAAGATAAAAAAAATAAAAAAGCTGCTCCTCAAACTTCTCAAAAGAAATCCAAGTCCGAACGAGGTTTGCTAGCTTTTTCGGACATTGTGGAATTCATATTAAACATGTTCAACATACAAGACCCTCTAAGAAGCTTAGTTTCTGCCTTGCTTCCAACGTTAGAATCATATCTTAAGCAATTGACTGTTTCATGGCCCCTCCTTGCATCAATCATATCTTTCGATGGATAATTCGTCGAACGAGGTTGAAGATATGATCACTGTGCTACAGTGGAACTGCCGTAGTCTAGTGCCTAAACTAGACTCGTTCAAATTTTTACTTCACAATTCTGATTGTGATATATTTGCTCTCTGTGAAACATGGCTTTCTTCCGATAAAGAACTCAACTTCCACGATTTTAACATTATTCGCCTGGATAGAGACGATTCTTATGGAGGAGTACTTTTAGGGATCAAAAAGTGCTACCCTTTCTACAAAATTTCCCTTCCTGCTCTATCAGGCGTCGAAATCGTCGCTTGCCAAATAAATGTGAAGAACAAAGATCTTTGCATAGCTTCAGTATACGTTCCACCAAGAACCTCCATTAGCCGTACCCTAATAAAAAATAACCATAAACGAACGATAACCCAAATCATTGAACTATTTCACAAATGGTTTGGATGATACCCAGAACACGTCGTTAAGCAAATTAACCATACAATTTTTATTAGGGTAGTCAACTCTGGAATCTAGTTTCGATTCTTCCATCCCCAGTATTAATTCTGGGTGATATGAACTCCCATGGTACTGGGTGGGGCGATCTATATGACGACAATAGAGCGGCTATTTTTTACGATTTATGTGACGATTTCAATTTGACTATTTTGAACACTGGTGAAGCGACACGTATAGCAAAACCTCCGGCTCGAGAAAGCCGACTCGACCTATCTTTGTGTTCAAGATCGCTATCATTGGATTGTCAGTGGAAGGTTATCAATGATCCCCATGGTAGCGATCATTTGCCAATCATCATTTCAATAAAGTGTGGCCCTCACTCTGCAGAACCATCTCGGGTTCCATTTGATCTTACAAGGAACATCGACTGGCAGAAATATGCAACGGCGGTGACAATCGGTGTCGAATCAATAGATGCGCTTCCACCATTGGAAGAATATCGATTCCTAGCCGATTTGATTTACAAAAGCTCACTGGAAGCTCAAAAAAGAAAAGTTCCAAGTGCACCCTTTAAAAGGAGACCAGCCACACCTGGTTGGGACGAAGAATGCACAAAATTGTATGTAGAAAAATCTGATGCTTTCAAAGCTTTTCGTAGACACAAAACCTCCACTTACTTCGAGGAATATTCAAAGCTTGAGACAAAGCTGAAACAATTAATCAAAGCAAAAAAACGCGGTTATTGGCGCAATTTCGTCGAGGGACTCTCACGAGAAACCTCAATGAACACCTTGTGGAGGGTGGCTCGCAACATGCGTAACCGCTCATCTTTCAATGAGAGTGAAGAATACTCCAACCGATGGATATTCGATTTCGCTAAAAAGGTCTGTCCGGACTCAGTTCCAGCACAAAATATTCTTCGAGAAGCGTCTCCTAGCGGCGGCTCTCTGGATAGACCATTCTCAATGCTGGATTTCTCTATGGCTCTTCTTTCATCGAACAACTCCTCACCGGGAAGCGATATGATTAAATTCAATCTTCTGAAAAATCTCCCAGATATCGCTAAAAGACGCTTGCTAGATTTATTCAATTCCTTGCTAGAAAACAACATTGTACCGCCTGAATGGAGACAGGTCAAAGTAATAGCCATTAAAAAACCTGGCAAATCAGCGTCTGACCATAACTCATACCGTCCGATTGCTATGCTTTCGTGCATTAGGAAATTGTTGGAGAAAATGATCCTTCGGAGACTCGATCACTGGGTCGAATCAAATAACTTGCTATCAAATACACAGTTTGGGTTCCGCAAGAGCAAAGGAACAAACGATTGTCTAGCGCTGCTTTCCACAGATATTCAACTGGCCTTTGCGCACAAGGAGCAATTGGCTTCAGTATTCTTGGACATTAAGGGGGCTTTTGATTCAGTTTCCATTGAAATTCTGTCAGACAATCTGCACAGATGTGGACTTTCTGGAATTTTAAATAATTTCTTGTACAATTTGTTGTCAGAAAAGCAAATGAACTTTTCTCTTGGACAACTGACAACTTCCAGAATTAGTTACATGGGCCTGCCCCAAGGCTCATGTCTCAGCCCTCTTCTTTATAACTTTTATGTCAAAGATATCGACAACTGTTTGGCAGCACAATGCACGCTAAGACAACTTGCAGATGACGGTGTGGTTTCCGTAAGAGGTCCACATGCCGTGGACTTGCAAGGACCATTGCAAAATTCCTTAGATAACTTGTCTTCTTGGGCTATGAATCTAGGGATCGAATTCTCGCCGCAGAAAACTGAACTGGTAGTGTTTAC